TTAATCCCGGTCCTCAAAATGATTATAGCCTTCTTGGGAGGAAAGGTACTTTAAAAAAATGGTTATAACATTTACTCACTCCTTCAACAAATATATCTCACGTTTCTGCTATGTGCTGAGAACTTTGCTGGGTTTTACGAATAAAGTGATGAATTAAACAGACAGTCTACACTCATGGAGGCTACTAGCTTATGGGAAAAAGATGTTAAGACAGTCATATGTATAAATATCTAAGTCCAATGAAGAAAACCTGCAGAGTTCTAAGAGAGAACACGAGAAACAAATTCACCGAGACTGGATGATGAGGGCAGGCCTCTTTGAAGAAATGACCTAAAAGCTGAGGCCTGAAGGATGAGCAGAGGTTGGTCAGACAGAGAATGGGGAGAACAGTATTTCTGACAAAAGCCCTGAGACAGAAAAGGGCTTGGTCGGTTTGAGAAAATAAAAGAAAGCAAGTTTTTCTAGGAACAGAGTGGATAAAGGTGAAGCTGGAGAGGGAAAGAGGAACGGGTGCACTTTTAAGTTTTATTCCATGTATAATGGAAGGCAAGGAATTCTTAGCAGGAAAATGACAAAACTGTGTATGTAGCTTTCAGTACAAGTAAACATGGAGCATTTAGCAAAAAAAGTTCAAAAAGGCAAAACTAGACTATAGTGTTTAAGAGCTATACCTAGGTGGTATAATTACAATGTAATTATTATTATAAAAGTCAAGATAACAAATTACTCCAAGGGGTAGGGTAGAATGCATTAGGGGGGGGCGCCTGGGTGGCTTAGTCGGTTGAGCGTCCGACTTTCGCTTAGGTCATGATCTCGCGGTTTGTGGGTTCGAGCCCCGCGTCGGGCTCTGTGCTGACTGCCAGCTCAGAGCCTGGAGCCTGTTTCAGAGTCTGTGACTCCCTCTCTCTCTGCCCCTCCCCTGCTCACGCTGTCTCTCTCTCTCTCTCNTCTTACTCCTAGAAATAAATAAAAAATATTAAAAAAAAAAAAAAAAAAAAAAGAATGCATTAGGGGATTCTAGGGGAACAATGTTCTGTCTCTTGACCTAATGGCGATTACATAGATGTTTGCTTTATATTTATTTGTTAAACATACATATAAGTTGCATACTCTCTATATATACTTCTAAATAAGCATGTTTTGTTTTCTTTTAATAAAAGAGTGGATTGAGATAAAGAAGTGGGATGTGGATAGCTCAAGAAGCTTGGTTTTGGTGACAGAGAGTGACAACTGACACCACCCCCCCCCCCACCAATATCCATTCTCTGATTTTCCTTTCTAAGAATCGAGCACCCTGAGCTTTGGCTGGGCATGATGTCATCAAAGGAGAGATAATACTTTAGCCTCCTTTTTCCTAGGTGCGGCTCTGCATCTAAGTCCAGTCTGCCTCCTAAATGACAAATGGCTTTTGTGAACTCTCCCCATCCATGCTGCCTGGGCTATGGCTACAACAGAAGCCACATGTTGCTTCATGTTGATCCAAGATGGAAGCCACATGTTGACAATGAGAGAGCCACGTCCTAGCAGCCTCCCTTGATGGTTTCATGAAGCAGAAGTGTTTATCCACCACAGACTGTCCACTTATCTTTGTTCTATGATGAGAATAAAATATACTTCTATCTTTCTTAAGTCACTGCCAGAGCAGTTCAGGCTGTGACCGATACAGTTATGAGGAAAAGTCAAGAGATATGGAGAGATATGACAGCTCCTGGGGTGTGTGTGTGTGTGTGTGTGTGTGTGTGTATGTGTGTATGTGTATGTGTGAAGGAATAGGAAAAGGATTTTTTTAAGGTTTTTTTAAATGTTTATTATTTGTTTTTGAGAGAGAGAGAGAGAGAGAGACAAAGTGGAGGAGGGGCAGAGAGAAAGGGAGACAGAATCTGAAGTAGCCTCCAGGTTCTGAGCTGTCAGCACGGAGCCTGGTGTGGGGCTTAAACTCACCCACCGTGAGATCATGACCTGAGCTGAAGTCGGACACTTAACCGACTGAGCCACCCAGACTCCCTGGGAAGGGATTTTTAAGTAATGGAGAAACTAGGTCATGTTTACATGTTTTTTTAAAAATTTTTTTAATGTTTCATTTATTTCTGAGAGAGATAGCGTGAGCAGGGGAGGGTCAGAGAGAGAGGGAGACACAGAATCTGAAACAGGCTCCAGGCTCTGAGCTGTCAGCACAGAGCCCGACGCGGGGCTCGAACCCATGAATCATGAGATCATGACCTGAGCCGAAGTTGGACGCTTAACCAACTGAGCCACCCAGGCACCCCAGGGCATGTTTACATGTTGATGGGAAGAACATAGAAGAAGAGACTGAAGGGGTAGTAATCAGAAGTTTAAAAACAAAATGGAGGAAGGTCCCTGAAAATATAGGAAGGAATGGGATACAGAACATAGGTGGATGAACTGATCTTTGACAGAAAGGGATATTTGCTCTTGTTTTAGCAGGAGAAGATGGGTGCAGATGTAGGCTGATTTCTAGATATCCTGCTGGAAGGTGAGGGAGTTCCTACTTAAAGACTTCATTTTCTGTAGGGAATATAAAGCATTAGATGAGAGCAAAGAGAAGGAGAATTGGTGGCCAGAGGTTTCAGGAGAGTGAGAAGGTATGAAACACTTTATGGAGAAATATGGTAAGATGAGTAGAAAGTGTTGAGTGCCTATCTGAGGTAGGTAACCACAGTAGGGTGCCACCAATCTTTGTGATTGGTTAAATTGTTTGGGGGTTGGTGTTAGGTCCATTTACAGCTGGAATTGCCACAGCCAGGTGCAACAGAAGGTGAGGAGAAAAGATAATTTTTCTTAGGTAAGAATTTCAACAGTAGACTATGGAATCAGGGCTTAATGGTAGGAGAGGGAAAGCCATAAGGAGATAGATGGTGGAAAGTGCAGAAGATAATGGATTCCAAGTTTTAGTGACTTGAAAAACTATTGTTCTCATTAGCGGGTGAACTGGAAGTAAGTGCTTTAATTGAATGGTGGAATGTTTGAATGAGTGGCTCAGAGATACTGGAAGATGTCCCTCTCCAGGGAGTAACTGTGGATGCGGAGGCTGACATGGAGCTGAGGTATCAGGAGGTGACGTCTCTGAAAGAAAAGAGAAACCTGCACAGAGTATGTAGTAAAAGAATTTTGTCTTTATTACTTTTTTTTAATATTTTTATTTATTTCTAGGAGAGAGAGAGACAGCGTGAGCAGGGGAGGGTCAGAGAGAGAGGGAGACACAGACTCTGAAATAGGCTCCAGGCTCCGAGCTGGCAGTCAGCACAGAGCCCGACGCGGGGCCCGAACCCACGAACCGCGAGATCATGACCTAAGCGAAGGTCAGACGCTTAACCGACTAAGCCACCCAGGCGCCCCAAGAATTTTGTCTTTAAAGTAGGAGTGGGGGTACCTGAGTGGCTCAGTCGGTTAAGTGGCTGCCTCTGGCTCAGGTCATGATCTCACCAGTTAGAGTTCAAGCCCCACGTTGGGCTCTGTGCTGACAGCTCAGAGCCTGGAGCCTATTTCAGATCCTGTGTCTCCCTCTCTCTCTGCCCCTCCCCAACTTGCTCTCTTTCTCTCTCAAAAATAAATAAAGCATTAAAATAAAAAAGATAAGTAGGAGTGTAGTAGAGAAGAGAATGAGGAGGTAGAAAAGAGGAGACAGATAAAATTCATGGAATCCATTCATAGGGAATGGGAAGCCTAGTCAGGGGCTAGGGGGCATGGATAAAAGTTTTTGGAGAAATTGGAAATGTAGGGCAAAAATAAATTTTGAAGGAACCTGTATGGAAATTGAAGTAGCATGGACTTTATTTTACAGCCCAAGTTGTCAATCATGTCCCTAGACACTCGTGTGTAAAAAGGTTTAAAAAATACACATTTTTAGCTATTTTCTTTAAATAAATATAGACCGATGACTTCTGAATAGGTGGAAATGAGGCTTTTACAACATCTGAAAAATTCTTACCCATTTTAGTCCTTGAATACTCTCTCTCTCCTACTCACTTTCCTCTCTCCTTCTAGCACTTTAAAAAAAATTTTTTTAACATTTATTTATTTTTGAGAGACAGAGCGAGACAGACCATGAGTGGGGGAGGGGCAATCAGAGGGGGTGACACAGAATCTGATGTAGGTCCAGGCTCTGAGATGTCAGCACAGAGCCTGACATGGGGCTTGAACCCACAGAGCTGTGAGATCATGACCTGAGTCAAAGTCAGACACTTGACCAACTGAGCCACCCAGGCGCCCCTCCTTCTAGCACTTTTATATGGGCCTGGCTCTCTCTATGCATGTGATAGGGAGAATATTGAATCAATCCATTTCAATCAATTGAATCAATGTTAAGGAGAACACTTAATCAATTTTTAAATAATTACAATTTAAGTTATCTGCAAGCTTTAGTACTTTGGATATATACTAAATTGTAAAGATCATTATCCACTATCTCATTCTAGATCTCTGTTATTATAAAGATGAATTAATTCTCTTAGTACCTTTGGGTACATACCCAGATTTAGTGTCAAACACACACATATTTCTCAAGTACTTTTCACCTAATCCTAATCCTAAACTTTTTTTAAGTTTCAGGACTTAATTACTTTCTTGTTCAAGTTCTGGAATGAAATATAGATAATGATATATTACCATTAAAATGTAGAAGTACCCTGTAATTAAGACTAAGATTAACACATTCCTTTAGGACAGAGTTATTATTATTATTTTTTATAGTTTATTGTCAAGTTGGTTTCCATATAACACCCAGTGCTCATCCTGACAAGTGCCCTCCTCCATGCCCATCTCTCTTTTTCCCCTCTCCCCCACCCCCATCAACCCTCAGTTTGTTTTCAGTATTCAGGAGTCTCTTATGGTTTGCTTCCCTCCCTCTGCTTAACTATTTTTTCCCTTCCCCTCCCCACCATGGTCCTCTGTTAAGTTTCTCTTGTTCCACATATGAATGAAAACATATGGTATCAGGACAGAGTTATTTTTAAAGCTTCTGTATTTCTGGGACTACTTACCTATGATGAGCCTGTGAAGAGCACCCTTATCTCCATTAATGGCAGCAGCATGAACTTGGGATGCTAATGAGGAGCCGGTAAAGAACAAGTTCTCTGACCTGTTCATAGTCTTTTCCGCAGCTGCAGCAATCCTGAAACAATGATTTAAACCATGAGTAAATGCAGGAAACATTTCTGAAAGCTGTGTCATCAGTCTTGAGTAGGTATATTATAAATATGGCTGAATAGTTGACTAGGATTCAAAAAGCTTGCAGTCCTGGTTCTAGAACTGCCACAATGTTGGCCAAATAAAAGACCTTTTGTACAAGTTGTTCATCTGGAAGATGAGAGGGGTGGTTGCTTCTAAGACCCTCCTCAGGGGCTACCCAAGGGAAAAAAGGGGCTCTCCGTATTTAACCTTAGACACAGGGCTCAAAAGCCACAGTAACTTTTGTTTTGATTCCACATAATAAACATCAGATTTAATATTGGGAATAATAAATGTGATGATCAAACCACAAAATGGGTATGATGTAAATTGTCAGGTCAAAATCAACTAGATCTAAGTGCTAAAATTAGAAGGCACTTAGTGCTTTCTCTCATGCTGCTGAAAGGAAGAATTTTTATTTGTTCTCTCCTTATGTCCATCAAGGAAATATAACTAGTTTGAGATCTTGACCTTAGGAAAAACCACATCATTAGGATCAATCATATTTCATTCAGAAAAATTGTGTTTTGACTGGTAACCTGATATGTTTTGCTAGAACTTTCTAGAAATGCATTAGTGGCATAGAAAAATAGTGAGTTCTCTAAGACTGTTGAAGCAGATGTTGGATTATGTCAGAAATGTAGCATGAAGAATTCAAGAAGGAAAAACAGGTAGTTGCATCTGATTTTAAATTTCCTTTCTAAACATAAGATGTAATATCAAAGTTCCTCAGCTGAAGGCCTGCAAAGACCAGGAAAGTAAATAGCGTAAGACACAGTGGTAGTCATGGTGAGCATGGCAAACTGGAGCATACACGCCTATCTAAAGAAAGCAGCTGCTAATCATTTATTTAATAATAGCTGCCAAAAGGGCAGACAAACCCTCCTCTGATTTCACCAAAGTGTCACTCTAATCTCTGTGACTCCTAAGGATCTGGGAGTTTTGTAGGAGAAATTTATCACCACTGATGAGCTAGTACTTGCGCTGTCATTGACAAGGATTATTGGTTCAAATTCTGCCTCAAAGTGAAAGTGTTTTCTTAATTTTGGTAAAGGTCAGCTCTTCATGTCTTTATTTTGCTGACAATTTGAGTTAACATGTTGGCAGAAAATACAGGCTTTGTGAGACACTTCTGTCATGTCTGTCATGTCAGAAAAACCACTGTCATAGGCAGGATTATATTAAAATGACTTGAAAGAAGCTACCAAATGGGTGGAGGCGGGAACACAGTAAAGGAGGAATTGTACTTGAGCTCTAGGCCTGATTCTGTTCATAATAAGCAGCATTTCCTTAGGCTACCTCAGCTCCCTGATTTCCTGTAAAATATGAACAATGAAAAGGGTAGAATGTTGATCCATTCAATAAGTTGAGTGCTATGTACTAGGCACTGCTCTGAACTCTAATACATGTCATTTTAGAATTGAAGCGATCATTTTTAGGCATATCAGAATCACATATACACAAAAGCCCCTCTACCTTTTGAAAAATATGCTAACGTTTAGATCTCAGTTATATATGTATGCATATATATAATATATATATGCATACATATATATATATTTCACCTCATAATTGTTAGCACTTGGCACAGTAAAAGGTACATAGCTGGTGTTCAGTCAATGTTTGTTGAATGAAAAGTGGGTTGAGTGCTAAGTCCAGAGGGTGAGCAGGATCAAAGTTTAATTTCTTTGACTAAAGAGGTCATATTCATGAGCATCTGATCTTTCTTTAATTCCCCATTTCTCTTCTGTCAGAGAGGAAGGGAGTGGTATAGAGATAAGAACACAGGACTAGGAGAGAGGAAACCTAACTAAGTCTTGGCTCTGCCACTATCTAATAAGTCACCCTGGGACAAACATTCTCCAGGGTCCTTTCTTAGTTCAACGCACACATATATACACACATATATTTAGTACTAATGTCTTTTGTAAATAATTTTTATAAATGAACATCAAAACCACTTTGTCAGTTATAATGTACAGGTATCATTAACTAGTTATAAAACCAGCCAGTGTAATAAATGCTTCTAGTAATATAACTGCGCAAAACTAGTGGTGCTGCAGTCACAAGCAAAAACTCATTCTGATCGGGGCTAAAAGGCTGGTGTTTTGGCAAATTCTCAGAGACGGTGACATTTGAGATGGCATTCAGATAGAGAAGAGGCTGAGGCCATTCCAAGGCAGAGGAAAGCTGGAGGACAGGTAAGGAGTAGGGAGAACCACACAAAAAGCAGAATGCCTCCCAGGTACTTAGTACTGATTGTGTAGCTACCATCTGGGGCACGTGGACCTGGCTTGGTGTTTGCGATGAGGCTGGGGAGCTAACTTGGGCCAGGTTAAGATCCTCAACGGCTTGGCTGACGAAATTCGTAATTATCCTGTAGGAGTGATCCATGCATTAGTAGCGATCACAGTTACGCTTTCCAGTTTACAACATGCTTTCCCATTTTGTCCCGGATCTACTCCTTACACGAGCCCACAGAGACAATTAGGGATAAGGCATCCACTCATTCAACGGAGGTCCTAAGAGACGGCTCCGTCTCTATAATGCAGTAATTAGCGCAGAAAGAAGAGGCAGCAGGCGAGGAGGCCAGTGATGAAAGATCAGGCCAGAGCCGAGGCCAGGAGGGCCTTGAGCCTGAGGTAGGGGCCAAGGCGATGCAGATCGATCGGAGCTTCCCCAGCCAGGCCCCTTCCTACTCACCCTCGCCTCCTCCAGGACTCACGTCCCGGGGGCGGCTCCAGGAGGCACGACCCGCAATGGGCCGCCCCTCCCGCCAGGACAGTACACTATATCCGACAGGGACAGACCCCACCGCGCTGAAACTAGCAGAACCCCTCCGAAGGCCGCCCGAGGCGTTCCATCGCACTGCCCTCTGGGAATTGTAGTTCCCTTCCTCTGAAAACAGAGGTTCGCCGCCCTCCGCTCTTTCTATCCCACAGGGCCCCGCGCGCGGAGAACTCGGTGGACCTAGGCGGAGAGTCTGATGGGAAAGAAGTTCTGGATGCCCCGTGACGTATTCGATAAGAGTGGTGCAGGACTACATTTCCCAATACGCTCCGAGATGGGCAGGACCCGGAAGTGAGGGTGTGCGAGGCCTCTCTGGAAGTTGTCCCGGGTGTTCGCTGCTGGAGCTCCGGGTCCAGAGGACGAGGTGCCGCTGCTGGGACGATCGTCCGCTGCCGCCGGCTCCCGGAGCCCAGCCCTTTCCTAACCCAACCCAACCCTGCCCAGTCCCAGCCGCGGACCCCAGCGTTACCATGAATCCTGCCGTCTTCCTATCATTACCCGACCTTAGATGCTCCCTGCTGCTCCTGGTGAGTGAAGGAATGACAGACCCTTCGACAGACGCTCGGACGGCCTCCCGCCCTCCCTAAGGGGGAACATCGCTGCCCCCACCCTTGCCTTCCTGTCTTTTCCTCTGCTGGCGAGGAGTGCACCTTCCCCTGCTGTCTTCATCCTCCGCATGCGTCTGTACGCTTCCCAGGCCCGGGGGACCCGAGGCCTGAGAAACCATGGTCGGAGGTTGGGTTCTGTAAATTGGAGAATGAGCAGTGGGGGAAGGATACGTGGGAGGGTCACGGGCGAGGAGCTCTCCCTTCCCCCCGGCTAACGGAGGTTGTTTCAGTCTCGAGGGCTTCGGGACCTGGTGGTATCCTGAATCGTAAAGGACGGCGGGGAGGACCTACTGTTCTGTCCCGTCCCCTCTTGGGAAGGCCGACAGGTGCTGGGGTCGTGTGAATCTCAACACTAAGAGCCCTGAAACGGTGCCGGGGTTGGCGGAGCCCTCTGTTGTGGCTTGATGCGATTGGTTGGGAACCCGGAACTGGAGGCAGATTTGGAGTCCACCAGGGGAATAAATGTTTGAAGGGTGGAGGCAGTGATGATCTGAAAACCTCAGCTCAAGGCCTCCCTCAGATTTTGTCACACACACCCCCACCCCGAAATTTAAGCAGAATTCTTTTTCAGTGCTTCTGGTTTGAGAGTGACCGGGTCTTCTGCACGCATTTGCCCTCATTTCTAAACTCCCTCACCTGCTTGGCTCCATCCCATCGTTTAGAGGAATCTTTCCCCGGTCCGTCTTTCCCCAAAGTACATCTTGCATGTGCAAACTAAGTAATACAGGCTGCAAGTCCATTAGAGACAGAAGTGAAAGCGGACTCCATATGGCAAAATACCTTTCATTGAGCCGTTATTATAATACAATATTTGAAAAGCCTTTAATTGTAGATTTTTAAAAAGCCGAATTTAAGAATAACATTAAGTAAAAAATCACCTTTTTTTTTTTTTTTTAACAACTTAAGCATAATAAAGTGACTCACAGAAAGGCGTATAGCTGGTTCCTGGCAAAACTGAGACCCGCAGCAGGTCTCTTGACTTGCAGTGCTTATTCCACCATATCACGTTACATTTTTAATATTTGTATTTGGAGGTCTCTTAATTTCTCTCTCCCCCCTCTCCCTGTTTTTTCTTTATGATTTACAATTCATATTCAAAAGCCATATATTTGAATCTTTTCAGAGTAAAAGCACTATGAAAGACTAAAGGGGATGTTAAAGTACTTTTGAGAACTAAAAGTTGAGTATAAACATATAATATTAAATGATGAAGTGTCTTATGGCCATTGCTTATACAGCAGTGAGTGACTTCTGCATAGAGGACAATATTCTGTATAGAGCTGTTTTTGATAATTTCATTATACACTGTGCTTCTCTTTTCCTTCTAGAAGTACTGGATTAAAGCTCAGTGTTATTAGAGATCACCCTCTCTTTAAAGACTCTAGATACTAACCTTTTCCCTGTCCATAAAATGGTCTGAATTATGAGTTGTCTGCTAGAAATTACTCTTACGTTACTGAAAAAAAACAAGAAGTAAACAAAAACCAGAAAGGTAAAAATCTTAAGACCTTAGATAAGTTGAAATACTGAATAGAAAGACGACGTCAGACACACTTTCCTGGAATGTTCTGTTTGGTTGTTGGACTAAGTTTAAGAAGGAGAAAGTATTTATTTTGAAATAATTCCTACTTTATATGTAAATCCCCCAAATCCTATTAAGTAGAAAGAGACTTCCCCCACCCCTGATAACTCTAAAGTCTAGTTAACATTTTGTATATTTAAGTAAATGTAGAGGAATAGAAACTTAGAAGACATTTTGGAGCATACTTGTAAAGTTAATGGGCGGGAAAATAAAGTCCAAGAAAAGGCTTCATAAACTAGAATTACAAGTCAAGCTAGATTCAGTTTGAACACAGTGTTTAATAAATAGTTTTAATAATCATATACTAGTTAGCAAATATTTATAAAACATCTGTTTAATCGATGCTGGAGGTACTTATCTAACTGGTAGTTCTGTTCTAGGAGGGAACCTGCTTACTCAGCATCCCACCTGTCTAAAAATATATCCTTTATCTTCCCCAGTGTATTTTCTTCCTCCTCCCTCCAGCTTCCCCTCAGATTGCAAGTTACTCCCTCCCACATACAGTCATTGAATATCCAAGTTCCCACCTAGCCGAGGTCATCATTTTTCCCTCAAATGGCCTGCCCTAAAAAGCCATATGTTCCCTCACTACAATTTTTTTTTTTAAAGGAAACTATACCTCAGCCTAAATCTATGAGGACTTAGTGGTGTTCATAAGGTAATAGCTGAAACATATAATCCTAAACTTAAAATTTTTTAAAAAAAATTTTATGTTTATTTTTGAGAGACGGAGAGAGACAGTGCATGTGGGAGAGGGGCATAGAGAGAGGGAGACACAGACTCGGAAGCAGGCTCCAGACTCTAAGCTGTCAGCACAGAGCCTAGCACGGGGCTTGAACCCACGAACTGCGAGATCGTGTCCTGAGCCCAAGTCGGACGCTCAACCAACTGAGCCAGCCAGGTGCCCCGTACAATCCTAAACTTCTATAGAAAAATGTTTTTCTTTTCCCTGATCTCAAAAACATTTTGGAGCATATCACTGTATGCCTAAAGAGCCTCTCTCGGATGGGTAACTTAAAACGTAAGCTCAATGTGATAACTTTTTTCCTGGGCTTTCATACATATTTTGCATTTGTATTTATATATTATATATACATATTTTTAAACTTTTATGTGTATATTTAAAATCAGGGTCTTGGAGAATGGATTCTTTTTCTTCAGGGTTGCTTTAGGAAATCCCCCCATTGCCTTTAAATTATTTTTAAACTCCACTGAATTTGCAGTATGCCTTGGACAAAGTGAGGTCTTCTAGATGCACTGATTTAGGACAAATCAGAAGAGAGATTTGAGTCACCTGACAAATGCAGTGAGCACTTAATCCTCCTGATGCCTTTTCTATCCCTTACTGTGTTATTTTGTTTCTGTTGTGGTTCGGGTTGATCCTGTGGGTGTGTGTTTACAACTTGAGTTATGAACTGTGTGTAACCTGTGCCCCCATAGCTGTTCATCATATTTTGTGGATGATTTGAATGCTGGAGGTAGCAGTGATGCTCTGCTGCAGACCCATGTGTATTGTATCTGGATTGGGAAATTCCTTCCAGGTGTGTGTGTGCTTTTAAGGAGCGCTACTTGAATCAGAGAACAGCACCTGGCCAGATGTAGCATGCCATCATGTTTTCACTTCGTTATGTGACAGTCATTACATAGTAGCGCATAGGATGTTATTTCATTTATCATTCTAGTAAAAAAGTCAGTACCTTTTTCTACTTAATCTTTCTATCTGGGATAGATGTATTCAGGATTGAAAGTGATTATTTTCCCCTTAAGTGTTTCTTAGCAGTTCTTCCTGCATTGCTTGTATATGAGTTCTTAAAAGGTGATATAAGAGAAATAAGACTAAGTTGGGATGAAGTTGTTTGATATATTTTAAGTAGCCTCTTCTGTGGTTCAGGGATTTGTAACACTCCAGTGGCTTTATTGAAGATGTTTTCTCTTGAGTTTCTTGATAATTATGTTTATACATCCTAAGTTCTTCCCAGTTCTGATTGTATCGTGCCTGGACATGAAGGCTTTTGCCTTTGTTGTTCCTGGTTTGTTCAATATTTATAGGAAGCCAAGAAAAAAAATTTTTTAAGTTTATTTATTGATTTTGAGAGAGAGGCAGAGCGAGCGAGTGGGGGAGGAGCAGAGAGAGAAAGAGGGAGAGAGAGAATCCCAAGCAGGCTCTGTGCTGACAGAACCCACAGTGACCATGAGATCATGACCTGAGCCGAAATCAAGAATGGGATGCTAAACCGACTGAGCCACCCAGGCGTCTCAAAAAAAATCTGCTTGTTAGAAACCTAAGTAAATCTATTTAGAGAGCTAAATAAGCTGTTATTTAATTAAAATCTTTCTAAGTGTCTTAAAAATAGGTACGGTAGAATTCAGAGATGTCATTAATGCCATCAATGCCAATAATAAGTACAGATTACAGTCTTCAAGAAGAGTACTTTGGGGACTTGGTTCATTCATAACTAGGTGAGTTATTTATTCGGTTGCTAATACTTGCTCCAGATTAGTGGTTTACAAAACCTGGTTGCTGGTTGGAATCACCTGGGGCAGTTTTAATAAAATAATGTCTGGCCCTTTACCACACCAGTTATATCTGTGGGACTTAAACATTGTTTTGTTAAAGAAAAAAAGTCCTTGGTGATTTTTTTTTCTTTAGTATGTCTTTGTAAAAGAAAAGAATTAAACAACAAAACCAAACCCAGAATACCATTATCAATGTGGAAAAATAAACAGAAGTTCCTTTGTCTCATAAAATACGTAGTCAATGTTCAGATTTTCCTGATTATTTCAAAATTTTTTTAAATAAATTGAATCTTCAAAACAAGAGTCAAGTAACGTCTATACATGGCACTTGGTTCATATGTCTCTTAATTTTTTTTTAACAAAACTCTATATTCTCATTTTTTTCCTTGTAATTTATTGTCGAGGAAACTGAATCCTCTGTCCTACAGAATTCCCATATTTGGACATTGCTAGTGATATCCTTGTGTGTGGTTTTGTGTTTCTCTGTTCCTTGTGTTTCCTGTAAATTTGTAATTAAATTTGTGTGGTCCCAGCCACCAACTCTGTACAGTTAAGTTCATTTGTTTCATTTAACTTTCATTTTTTACCTTCTAAAAACTTACCTTCTAATGTATAATTATGTCCAATTTACTGCCTCCAAAAACCAAATCTATAAGATAACTATATTTGGACAAATCTAGCTTCTATTTCTGTCTGTGTGCTTTTCTCTCTCCAATATAAGAAACCTTTAAAATTTTTTCAATTTTTAATTCCTTTTTTTTTTTTTTTGTAAAAGAGTAGGCAGTGCTTCTATGTTTGTGTGTATGTTTCTCCCTCGCCT